TGGAGTGGCGTCGGCTGAGTCTCTGTGGTCTTAGCTACTAGCTTCGTCCCAGCATGTTGTTTTTGCAGATGTTTTAAGAGATTTGAATTACTGGTTTGGGCAGTAGATAGGATCTTTGACCCGCCAAGACACAACTTACATTTAACAGAAACTTTCTTTTCTTTGTGCTCGACAAAAGTGAAATAGTGAGAATATCTCCAGGTGGAGAAACTAGACTTGAGCTCCGCCCCGCCATGATAGTCTTGTTAGTAAACAACACAAACACGCCCACAGCCCGTCTCCGCATGTGACACAGGAAGTATCTAAGTACATTTACTCAAGTACTGTACTTAAGTACAGTTCTCATCTCTGTTCGCCTGGCTGTTGACTATATAAAAAAAAACTAACGGAGTAAAGCACCATGTAGTAACGGTAACTGAGTTACTGAATTAAAAAAGGAATGCGTTAGAGTACTAGTTACTGCCAAAAATAACGGCGTTACAGTAACGCGTTAGTCCCAACACTGGTCTTGGTATACCATAAGCAGAGGCTATCAGCAGATCTGTAACATTTGGGAATTGAACATGCGGGTAAACAGATTGTTGCTGGGAGGACATGGCTTGCGTTGGCTGTAGACTACCAGTAAAGGTAGGTTGTTCGCTACCAGGCATTGATGTCATATTGTTAGGGGCTTCAGCAGTGACCGAGGGTCACAGGTCCATGGTGAATAGAAAGGGCGCGGGGCATTACTGTAGCAGATGCAGGGTGAAAGGATGAAGGTAAAGCTTGGGCAGCCACATGGGGAGTTGACGTTGCTGTAGTTTCAGCAGTAGCTGCTGAGGGAAGAGAGGGAGCCTGGGCAGTGTATAAGCTTTGCTGTATTGGTTGAGGCCTGGGAAGGATTTGGGAGGCCTTAGGTAGTCCTCTGGAAAGGCTAAGTTGGGGAAGCAGGGGAGCTACAGCTAAATGAGAGCGAGAGTCAGCATATGTCAAGTTTGGGGGGGCAGGAGTGAATATCCTGGATGGAGGCAGATCGTAAAAAGAAGACGTTGCTCCATTTCCATGAAGAGATGAGGTTGTAGGACCACAGGCTCCTCCATCCTCTTCAGAAAGATTGTGTTTTATGAAACTAGTGACAAGTTGAGCTGACTCAAGCTCTTGTTCTTTAGTACGAATACGTCTGTTCATTTCAATCTGTCTGACAATTTTCTCTCTCTCTCTTTGTGTGCATTTTCTTGACATTGCTGAGCAGCTCTGGCCCTTTCATCAATTAACTTGCATTTTTCATCCAGCTGCTTATGCTCCAATTGCTGTCTTTTAAGCTCCTCCAGCTTGTCTTTTCTTCCCTTATCCTGGAGAATACTGGCTTGGAGATCACTCAAATTAGGAGCGTGGCGGCTGCCTCTTGAATGTCGACTTGTATCAGAGCAGCCTGTAGGGACACTTGATGCCGACTTGCTGAAGTGTGTCCTCTTACTCCTTAAACTATGAGATACTTGGGATGCTGCCTTGCACCATGGAAAACCATAGTAATCAGGGGGCCGTCCATCTCTTTTGGGTCTAGCCCCTAGGTCACGATGGCTAATTGGCTTTGTCGGGGCTTTGGCTAATACTTCCAGGGCTACTGATTGCAGAATGAGATGAGGGGTAGGCAATAAGGGTGCAGGTGAAAGGCTAGGCTCTGTTTGATGAGCAGGTGTGGATGGCCTAGGTGATGTTTGAGACGGGCCCTCTTGTAAGTAGAGCTGGGTTAAGTCTGGGACACCTTCGGATCCATCCATGTTCTCAGTAGAAATGGCCTGACCTCCATTGTTGGGTTCATCCATTGTCTGCATGTCATCAGTCCCGGAATCTGTCATTTGGTCACTGTGTGGAGTGTGGCTCAGTCTCCGGCTCGAAGGACCATTTGATCTTTCTGTCTTGGAATGAAGAAGAGCGAGAGCCACAAGGTCGAAACAGGACAAGATGGCTCTCGCTCTTCTTCATTCCAAGACAGAAAGAGTAGAAATAGATGGTGTAATGCGCTATGCCACTCCCCTGCTGAGAATTCCCAACAGGTATAGTCAAAAATGGTGTGCCAATGCACATGCAGCTCAGATATTCAATCAATGCCATGTGGTCTAACCAACAAATGATTCTAATAGTCATTATGAGAGCACTTGTCCAGTATTAAATAACCAACTTCAAGGAATACACATACCCTCTCAGAAACCCCAAAACAAAGAGACTGTTCTACCTTACATCACCAGCAGGTGTCGCAGCAGCTCACTTGTCTCTGCGACCCTGTCAATCACTCCATCAGTGTCCAGAGCCATCAGAATCTCCTTCTCTGTGCACATGAGCATGAATGCCTCCATATGCTCCTGGGTCAGGGTGGTCCTCAGTCGATTCTTCACATATTTCAGTGTGGAGAAGAATATAATAGTCTGGCCAGCCCTGCAGCCCGTTCTAGGTTCTGATTGGCTCTCTAGGTTGCAGTGGAGTTTTTATATGTACAAAAGTGGTGGGGCACAAAAAACTTAGATGTCTATAAGCTTCTGCAGTGAGGTTCATGGCTGGTGAGGCACTGGCACTGACTCTTCAGGTTTACAAATATTATATTTTGACCTAAATCAAAATATTATATTTTCAAAAGCTTTTTTTGTCTGATGCTTCAATTAATTTTAAACAGACAGTTCAACAGAAGGATACCCAAAAAATGTAATTTTATCATTTAAATATTGAATTGTTCTCTCTTAGTAAGATCCCATTTTCAATAAAATTGCAGTTTTACCTTGACTTGAAGATTAAGTCCATTTGCCTATCCCTCTGGACAAAAATCTCTATTACTTTTTTGTAAAAGTCCTCCTTATGTTCTTGTAGTTTCAAAAGTCATAAATCTAATCAATAGATTTATGATTCGAAAATGATAACAGTAGGGTAGACATGTAGATATTATCCGGCTGAACAAAACGTGCATTTATCTAACAGGTTTGTTTCCCACAGATCTTATTTGGACCTATTTTCTAAAATCATATGGAGAAATCTCATTGCTTTTTTGTCGAGGGAAGCCATGCGCAGCTTACTTCCGGGTTGTAGGATGCGTCACTGCAGCTCTCTCGTCTCCTCTTCACACACCACACTTTTCGCGGCACACGTACTTACAGCCAATCAGCTCTGAATGATGTGAGATGACGTATGGTGGGGATGGCAGCATTATGCCCCTATGGTCATTATTTTTTTGCCACACACATTAAATAGGAAAATATTCTGAGCATGCGCAGTGTAGTTTTTACAGTCACCATTGACTTAGACAGTGAGAGGGAGGGGCAGGATCGGGTTTTGTCCCACATGGCTCTAAACAGCTCAATAGGCACACACTGTAGACACTAATTAGAAGAACACAGACTAAAACAGCAATGTACTGACGAATCGGATGATTAAACATGATCTTAAAATATATTTTTTAATTTATTTTTTGCATTTATTTGTAATCATTATTTTAATACTTTCTGCTGACACTAGGTGGGGCTGTGCCCCACCTGCCCCTAATGACCAGTCGCCATTGCTAGGTTGGCATTCTAGCTTCTGACTGGCTGTCCAGGTTGTCAATCACAGCCGTGGGCATATTATCCTAGTCGTAACATTGCTAAACTTTTTTCATGACGGTTTTCTCAGTCAACTAATGCTATTGCTAACAGTAACATAAATTAACACAGCCCTGCACACTGCACCTGCTGTCATTATATGCCGGGTCTGTGGTTCATCATCTTCCTTCTCATCTCCTCCTTATTACTGCGACAGGGAGCGAGAGCCCTTCTACTAAACAGCTCTGTGATTTTCGAAAATGTTCCAGCATCTTCCTGTTGCAATTTTCGTTTTTTCATTCTGGCTTTTTCAGCCCCACCCTTTCTTTTTTTACTGTTCTCCATCTTGTCTTTCTCAATTTTGCTAGCTAACTTACTGATCAATCATCAAACGAAGCTAGGGAGCTTGTCTGATGAGTGGACTGATGGGAGGTCCACCGTCAGGGGAGGGACTTCGCCACTCTATTGGAAGAGACGACTCATCTCTCCCGGCCCAACCCCTTCAGTTAATCTATTAGTCTACTTTCAAAAAACATAAGATTGACAAGTTTGACAACCTATCAATAGCGCCGTTTACATGGAATGTTTTTCTGATCATATCCGATCACTAAATAAAGCGAGCCACGTTCACTCGTATACATGGGCCAAGCATTAAGCTGATTACAATTTCACCTGTACCGAAGTGGGCCGATCGGAGTGGGGCAGCGTCGAGTGGTCCGACCGGCCCACTTCGGAACCGGGCTACCGGCCCATCGGGATTCGTCCCGAACGTCCCGATGGCCAGTCCGCCCCTGGTCTGACCAATGGTTGAACAGCATTTCCGTGCACATGACTTGTGTTTAAAGTTTATAGTCCGTTTGAGTTTTGCCCGTGTGAACGCAAACCGAACCTTCTGAAAAATAAAACAATGTAATAAACTGTGGTCTGGTGCGCACCAGAGAAGCGGACTATTAGGTGTGAATGCACCCTTAGAAATAAATACTTATTACTATTGTTATTATTCTGATACTCAGACGGTCAGACCTTATTGACATTTCACTGTGACTTCATTATTTACTCTGACAATAACTTAAATAGCTCTAAATGGTGAATACTGATTGAAGTTTTCGACACATTTTGACTCTGATTTGTTCAGTACCTATTCCACACATGGAAACCCATTTGTGACCAAAGACAATATTTAGTATGATATGAAATAAATCCACAATTGTTCTGAGACGGAAAGGCTTGAAATATGGAATGAACATAAACTATTCGACTATCTTACAATAAAACTTTGACATTTTATTCACAACACATGAATAATTGCAAAGATCTGCTGCCTAACCCGATATATTATCACATCAGTCATTCCATTCATCATTAACTCCCAATCCAGAAATGTACCTTTACACCTATCTGCTGCTTCCTAGCTAAAGTCATCTTCCTCATCACCTTCATCATGTCATCCTGCAGGGAGCGGTACCAACTGCGTGAGGCTCGGAGGATCCGTGACCTGGACCGGGTGCTGCTGGGGTACCAGACGTACCCTCAGGCTCTGACCCTGGTGTTCGACGACCTTCCCGGCCCCGACCTGCTCTGCCACCTCACCATGGACCATTTCACTGCTGCAGGGGAGGAGGCCCCGTCTAGACGGGGTGGATCCAGCAGCGGAGCAGAGGGCGAGGTCCAATGGTGCGTCTTCGTCCCGGGAGCCGACAGCAGAGAGAGGCTGATCTCACTCCTCGCTCGCCAGTGGGAGGCGCTGTGCAGCCGGGAGCTTCCTGTGGAGCTCACCGGCTGATTGGATGCCGGTCAGGTGGATGACCTAGTTGGGAGCTGATGGCAGACAGTCATCATAAGAGCGAGATGATTACCTAGCAGATTAAGAGCTTGGTTAGCTGTTTAAAGGCTTCAATATGATCTAAACGAAGAAGTGTTTTCTGACCACATCTAAAGGCAAGGCTTTTTCACATAGAATGGTGGTCTGATAGAGAGTCTGGCAAGATGTGATGAATCAATGAAATGGGGCTAACAATGTACAATGGATTGTGCTCGGTTGTCCATTTGAAAAGCGACACAAATAAGTGTGGTGAGTGTTAAAAAAAAGTAAGAAGAACAAATCCTGTGTACGTACAATAGAGCTGCAACAATTAGTAGACTATTAAAAGCATATTTCTTTATAATCAAGGTAATTTTTCCTTTGAAAAAAAGAAACAAACTACTGTTATCAGCCTCATGAGGTTTCCTGCTTTTATCTGTTTTATCTCTTATTAAACAGAATATCTTTCAGCTTTGGACCGACAAATGAGGGAAAACATTTAAAGATAACACATTGGAAATCTGGAATAGACATTTTCACTAGATTCTGACATTTTATAGAACAAACTTATAATCAATAACAAATGTTCTCTTATTCCTCCAGCCAGTCGCATCATCAAGTCTGCTTTGAGAAGCTATCCCTGGCTGCATCCTACTGCCTCACCACCTCTCTCAAACACCTCTTTCAAACACCTCTTTCGTGTATTTTTCATGTCCTTGTAGTCTTGAATAGATGCTTTTTCCTAGAACACATTCCTTGTGTTGCACTCAGTTCTTCACATGTAAAGTGACAGCAGAGTTAGCAGTTTAAACAAACATATGCTTGAGAGATAATTTGACCCTTACACCTCCTAACATGGAGGCAATCCATGTGTAAAGTTGCCATGATTGTTGGTTTCAGACAAGCACACAGTTTGAAGCATACTGAGGCCTTTGGTCGTACTTCTTAAAGATTGAAAGGGATCTGGCTTTGTTCAAACAACGTTTGGTGTCTGCTCCAGAAAAAAGTCTTGGTCGAACTCAAAGGACAGCAGACTGCCATTACAGGCCTGAGACCTCACACTGAGCCGAAACAGTCAGAGTTTCTGGCACAACCTCACCTTATTTTAAAGTGTCTCACACGCAGCAGATTTACAGACTTGAGACACAGACAGACATACAGACGGTGTTGTGTTGCACAGCAGGGGGGTGCTGCAGACAGTCCACAGGAGTTTACTACCTTTTAATCAACATTACCTTAAAGGAACAGTTTGTCGTTTCAGGTATATCCTCTTGTCCTCCCCAGAGTCAGATGTATAGCAGTTTCATTTCTGTGAGTTCAGTACAAATAAGTATAACGTGTTATCCTAGCTTAGCACAAAGACTGGAAGCAGGGGGAACTGCCAAACGAGCCTCATTAAACTCCAAAGTTGTATGATTTACATGTGTTTATTTATGTAAAGTTGCTATTAAAACCAAAAAAAAACATGTTTTTACTTTTCTGCAGTCTGACTCTGGGCGAGGAAACAAAAGGGATCTTCAAAAAATGTTGGACTGTAGTTTTTAAATAGCACACACACACACACACACACACACACACACACACACACACACACACACACACACCACACACACACACACACACACACACACACACACACACACTCTCTCTCGGCTGCTCTGCACAATATGCTCTCTGAACATTGTATTCCTTGCACATTGATGAAGCAGTATTGTTGAACTGTATATTGAAGCTTTTTTATTGACATGATATTAATGTAATTATGTTTGGGGCAGACGGATGTTTTCCATCCTAAAGCAGATTTTGTACTAAACACGGAGATCCTTGTGGATTTTTTCCAAAAAGAACTCTTAAATATCTTATTTAGTATTATCATTAAGTATTGTTTTTTATATTTTCTTAGTTTTATTTTATTGTCTGTTTTGTCTTTTGTACATAGTTATCGACAAATGGGAAGCCAGTCAGTGCTGGACCCTGCAACCATTCACCACTGTTGTTTATGTTTCATGTTGTCTTGTAAATGGGGAATGCCACTCAATTAAAGTGAAAACAAAAACTCCACAAGTAACTATTTCCTGTTTGATGACGTAACAGTGGTTTGATTCTTTGACTGCAGTCTGCACATATTTCAGCCGATGCAGCATTTAAACCAGAAAACCAGTCTACTGGGTTACTGATGGCATGCAAGTTTTAAACCTTTCTGTCTTAATCCCAACTAAAACTGACTCTATGCATCTGCCCAAAGGTCTCTAACAAATATTGTTAAATCAGAAAACAGTGAAGAATTATGCCAATACTGTAAAATGATTCCTCATTTCAATTCAAATTAAGCTATAAGATTGTTCTTCATAGTAGTGCATTGATCAGTAACAAAGTTGTCATTATTATTACAGTGACCTGCATTGCTTTGTTGAGTCTATTGTTTGTCTTTTTATTCCTGCAAACAAAAAAAAGGACAGTTTTTAAAGGCCTCATTGCAGTATTTTAAGAATGTATCCTTTCATGAAACTACATTTAGGCCAACAATCTAAAAATTTAGAATGAATTTTCCAGAGATTACTTTATACCTGGCAAGTTGAAGAGGTTTTTGAGACAGCATTTATATTCGGTCGGCATGTAAAACACTTTTTCATTGGTTTGTATTTCTATAATTGTCTATGTTAGTTTCCAGAGAAGACATTTCATTTTCAATATAGGGACATTCTAGATTCAATTCAGTTGGAAATTACGAAAGGGCTTTGTTGGGGGAGGACTTTTACTAGCAATCTCAGTATTTATAAACCCCTGGCTGTTGAGAACAATTTGTTTTCCAGGGAAAAACATCTTAAACAAACACTGTCAGCAGTCAATTCTTCTCTGGGCTAAGTGAGATTTTGATGACTTGGCGGTTCAGCAGCACGAAACATACCACTACCTTTCAACTCGACCAACTTCCTCTATTTCCTGTCTGTCGGAGTTGCTCGTCATGAATTTCCTTTTTGGGGACACTTAAACAGACAGAGGGCAGCGATACTGTACGAGGAAGTGTGATCAGCAAAACCACCAAACTGCCCTCTGATTGGGATTCTCTGGTACCAGTAGGTCAAATGACCAACGGGACACAATAGTCCCAGGCTTCTTTCATAAGAAAAAAACTAATCCTATTCAGTTGTCCCTAAAATAATTTTCAGAAGAGTTTGGCTCCAATCTGATTATGACAATGAAATGTATAGGAACAAACCAGGTTAACATCAAGCTTGAAAACTACTTTGGAGATGTTTTTTACATTCACCAAGGATGTTTTATCTCCTTAGTTTGTAAGCATCGGTCAAACTTATTTTAAGCATATTTTTATAAAATAAGGAGGAAATGCAGCCAGTTAACCATGGATTTGCATTTAAGGTTGAATACAAAATGTCTTCACATTCTAAATTGGGCATCATTTTCTGGCACTTTAAACCATGATAAGATAATTGTATGGCAACTAATGGCTATTAACTAACTATTCAATTTGGTAAAGGTTTGAAAGTATATGAATGGTGTAGTTTACAGTTAAGTAGAATAGTATTGTTTATGTTAGCCAACTTTCCAGTTTAGAGGCACATCTTTATTTCAGTAAAGGTAGGGTAGGTAAGAATGGAGAAACCAGCTCGAGTAAGCTAGAATTTGAAAGTACGCAGCCGAAAGAAATCTGCCCCTTCCTTCAGACTTCCTTACAGAGCCCCTCCTCCAACACACACGAACGCGCACATGACCAATGAGGGCACGAGATAAGTTTGTCCACGAGATGGAAGGCTGACAGGCAGGTAGGCCATCCAGTTATTTTAGCCGGGCGGCTAAAAATGATTGGTCGTGCTTTTAACAGCGCTATGGCTTCCACAGATGATTTTTTTAAAAATGTATTTATTGTCAAAGCATTTAATATATTCATTCATTGCTATCGGGATGTTAAGAGTATTCCATGGAATATAACAAAAAGTGTTTCTGAAGTGAATTACCTACCCTACCTTTAACTACCAGTTCTGTTTAGCTGCTTACATTTAACGACTAAAACAATTTGGGTTAGGGTTAGGTAATAGCCTGGATTAACTACAATTTAGGTTTTGGTAAACTAACAGACCAGAAATGGCAGGTTAGCAAACGGAGCATTTCAACAGCTATAACATGTTGGTATACTGTAAGTAAGCTACAGGCAGTGGTGGCAGGTGGAACATATTTTAGGGGGCTGTGGAAATGGTGACCAAACAATACTAGGGGGGTCCGGGGGGATGCTCCCCCGGTAAAACAAATTGAGAAAAGACCCCTTAAATTATGACTTCTGGTGATGTTAGAGGGGGGGGGGGGGGGGGGAAGGACAAATTGAGGCTTAAAAATATGAGAAGACTGATCAATACCTCCATAATCTTCAGTGTGGTTAGCTATGAATCTTCCAAAACTTCCAAACACCTTGTCCTGGACATAGTTTCTACAGTATAAACTGTGCAACAGTAGAGTAGGCCCACACAAACTGCAGAACACCGGGGCTTTGGGAGCACTCAAAATTACTTAAAATGATTTAATTCCCATTTAACCTGTTAAGGGGCTTTTCCCCCCCCGTTTATTTTCTCACTAAACTGTGTCTCAGGGCTTCTTAAAATGTAATAAACTATTCATGTGTCCTACTCATTTAATGGGAAGAAACTCAGCTAACTGATAATATGAACCATGTTTACCGAAACAAAACACAAGTCTCACAATGTTAAATGAGCTAATGGCTAAATGAGCCCTGAGCGAAAAAAATGCTAACGCACTCTAGGTATAAATCAATCGATATACTTATCGGATATGCACAAATAAGCTTAGCTAACAAGCTGAGATTCCACAGATTCTAGAAATATAAGTATCATCACTGAGCGATCAGATCTCGCGACAGGGGAAGCAAATACAGACATCACACGTAGCTTTAGGTAGCAAAACACGGAGAGTGTATGACAGCTTCCTGTTTTGTCTCCTTGGATACGAGTCCAAACAACTCACAGACTGCACCGGGCGCTGATGTAGGCGCCCTGTGACCATCAGATTTGACGACACTGATTGGCTGAAATTATGTTTCGGCGGCATAGTTTAAAGATAGCAACAGTTGGCTTCTGCTGCACTTGCTGCACTCTCGTCTGGGCGCTATGTACAGCGCCCAGACGAGATATGAGAGAGTAATGATACACGGGCAAGGCCAGGCAAGGTGACTTATCAGTAACTTTAGACATCGTAACACAATTTTAAACGAAATTTTAATGTAGATTATACATTTTACTGATACCAATTATATAATATTTACCTTGTTTATTAAAAAAATAAATATATATTTTTAAATATATATTTTAATTTTTTTTAAATGTTTAATGTGGGAAGAGGGGGGCGGCGTCCCTAGCGCCCCTATGGGCCGGCCGTCACTGGCTACAGGTATAGTTAAGCAGCTACAATTGTTGGATAATAATGAACTTTGGTAGCAAAAAAGTGGGTTCAGGTTTTTTGTGTTTTTGTTTTGAGGCTGGCTAACAATGTCAATGCTAACAGTTTGTTTCAGGTTAGCTAACGTCACGTTCAACAGTTCATTCAATCTGGTACAGGTTAGCTAGTAGTCGATTTTAGCAGTTTAAACAGTGTGCCGTTTAGAACAGGGTTGCCAACTCTCACGCATCTGGCGTGTGACACACGCTTTCACTCTCAATCTCACGTTCTCACGCTGCCCAAACTATTCTCACGCCAAAAACAAGAATACCGAAGACTAGAAACGGTTTTGAAAACTTTTGTCAGGTAGTGATCGTCTTCTCAATAGAACATCTTTGATAATGTCTTCTGGCCAATCAGAATCAAGATAACGGCGTGGTGTTGTTCCAGGAAGCGCTGGCAGCTCTGGGAGGAAAAAAAATATTTTGACTGTTTGCGCTCATCCTAATTTTCGGCCTTGATGTAACAGCATTCATAATTAAGTCAAGGTAACATCCTTTTCACCCCGGTTACACTTTTCATTTGCCCTGTACGATGGGCGCTGTAAGTGATGAAAGTGGTGGGTGTTGGCTTATCAGGCGTCCGCAGCTCACAGCCAAAGTGGGTGTGGGATCGAGCGAGAGAGATAAATGCAATTTATGTAAACAAATATTTCCAAGGCACTCTTTTATAATTATTGGGATAAACAGGTTTGAAACCATTTCAATGTATACTATAGGACAGAAAACCAGACATATCGTTTAAAACTTGAGAGATACAAAAATATGCATAAATAAACGTTAACTAGGTAAAATAAGATATGAATGAACAACAAAAATAAAATAAGTTGCATTTATTTGCTATTGGCTATGGTAGGTTATTGGTTATGTTCACATAATTATTTGATTATTAAAATGTAAACCAATCTTTTTCATATGGGTGTTTAGAGTTGTACCCCTAGGTCAGGTCTCTAGTAATGTGTGCTCAAAGTGCACCCGATTGAAGCATTTTACTTTAAATGTTCAAACATTTCTTCCTGGGGGGGCATACCCCCGGTCCCCCCTAGAGGATGTGACGTCCACACCCCAATTCAAACATGTTCATACAATACCGAATACATTTGAAGCCTTTTTGATGTATATTACCAGCATGTCAATACGTTTCTGTTTTTGTAGTATATTGGTCTTTTGTAGAGATTTTTCATTTATTCTTTATATATTCTATTGTGTATTCCTTGGGTACTTTTAGCTTTTCTATTGTACGATTGAAGTAAATGTGGGAAGCGTTTAACAACAGCCATTTACTTCAAAGATAGTTCGCAATGTTATTCTTATTTTTGTTAATCCTGGAAGAATGCCAGAAAAAAAGAAATTTTCTTCAAGAATACAAAAAAACATGACATTAGTAATTGTGAAAACAAATTAAATAAGTTGTTAGGTTAAGTCAGGGCCGGTTTTTGGCATAGGCGACATAGGTGGTCGCCTAGGGCGCCAGATCTGGGGGATGGGCGCTGCGCTGGCAGCTCTGGGAGGGAAAAAAACATTTTGACTGTTTGCGCTCATCCTAATTTTCGGCCTTGATGTAACAGCATTCATAATTAAGTCAAGGTAACACCC